ATAAGAACATTTTATAACAGTTTTACAAACATCTTGCCATATCACGTAAAAAAACAGGACGAGGCATGTTAATCTTTTTATGATGGTAGATTGATCGTTTTCATTAAAGGGACGATGACAAATCACCACCGACGCGAATGCGGTAATTCTTCACGTTGCCACACAATTTATGCTTCGCATATATCTACAATGTTATCCAAAATGGTGATCACACGTTTCTGCAATGTTGTCTAAAATGGGACTACACGTCTCTGCAATGTGGCCATCTTATCGAATAATAAATTGTTTAATATCGACCACATTGATGGATGAATGTATTCGGCGGTTTTTGTCCCGCTGGGATGGGTGTAACTTGCTCAGTGGAGGGTTATGCATGGGTCGCATTTTTTAGGCATAGTTAAGACTCCGTTTTCACGATATTATTTGATATCACATTGATGTTTCGAATTGACTTTCCCACGCCATTTTTAGTCACATCTATAGAAGCAGTAGCTAAACATGTCGCAACCTGATAAAATTATTAATTATTTTATGCAGAAGTATATATATTAAATCTCACTAAGTGAGTTGGTCATGTGTACGCACGCAACTGCCAACAAATGGTGCAAATTGGGAAATTGTGCGGGGTATACGTTGTCATGGAAATACAAAGAAATACTAGTATATAATTTGTCGATGCTTGGACTAATGATGACGTCGCGTGTATGGTAGAGCTATCAAGAGCGAAATATTGAAAGGTGAAAAGTTGTTAATCCCGGTAATCATAAAAATATAAAATACCTTTATCACTGGTAATATGTCTTTAGATTGCCATTACAATTTAATCAGAAAGGTAAATGTGTTGTGAAATTAATCTGAACGTACTCGGATACCCTGTTATTATAGCCCTTTATATTATTACGTATTCTATCGTACTAGATTTGTCGCTTTCTATGTGACGCCGAATGCATTCAAACATACTCTGTCAGCACAGCATCACGGATATGTACATATTTATACAAATGTAGTAGTTTTTTTTTATAATTTTCAAAACTTTATTTGTATAGCCGATTTTGTGCACAACTGTCAATATTACTGAATTTTAGAGGGCGCTAATACTTGAATTACCCTGGGGGCACCGGTGGTCCGCATTTTCTATGTGATTAACCCGTTTGTTTTGTATCATAATTGTGTTACGATTTTTGGTTTCTAAACTCATATTTGAATTGAAGTCGCAAAACTACTTACATGCACTGAAGTATAAATAATAACAAGACTCGGTTCCCAGTTTTTGCTTTGTTTTGCATTTTCAAACATTTTGACACAGAGCAGTAAACCTTTTACACAGGCAAAAATATTTGAAACAAATCTGTCATGATATTCAGATGAAACAATTTTCTCAATTTTAGCGAACGAAATGGAGACAAACCATTGATAATTGAACTTTTAGCAAAGTATGCTGTGATGTAAAGCAGACCAGTCAATTAGTTTTGTGAACGTGCCAATTTCTAATAAAACCGGTCAAAGTAAGTTATATGCCTGAAATGGTGTGAACACAACCAATATCAACCAAACGCAACCTGTATCAACCAAGACGCAGCACATTCAACAACAGTGAGAGATTGTGAGTCAACAAAATGGCAATTTCAAATTACCAACATTGTAAAATACATCAACTTTTCATGGAAGTAGAATAACAAACACAACAAAATCATTCCCTTAATTTTTATAAACACTTATAAATTAGAGTATCTACCGTATGTGATAACCGTCATGGCATTGTTCTCTGAAGAGATGAGACCAAAGCTCCGGAAAAAAATAATTATTGCAAGGAATGTTTTAGAGCAATTTTCATTTAAAATCTCTGGATGCAAAGTCAACTTTTATAATCCCGCTCCAAAAACCCATTTTAATGAAATAAATGCAATGAACAAACAATTCCCAGCTTTTCTATGAAAGTAAAAAAAAATAATTTATTTCATTTATCTGAGATTATCAAGAAAAATATAGAGTTCATGTTAAATTAGTTACAATCACAGAAAATGTTGATAATTTATATACACAAAAAAACATCACGAATAATTAATGTTAGATAAATCGAAAAAAAAGATTTAATTCTCATATATTTTGGAGGGAATATAACCAGTTGTTTATAACCTTAGGCAAGCATGGAAACGATGAACAAATATTTTTGTTCAAATTAAATCAAAACCCAACTACCCGGTACTAGTAAATGGCATTTCCACTTTTAGAAGCTTTGAACATAAAGAAATTTTCTGGTTTTGAATTAAAGTGTTTCAGTATACATACTGGAGATACTAAAATCAAAACTAAACACTAAAAGCTACTGCTAAAAGTTATATATTTCTAAAAGCTAGTACATTCAGGTTGTTTATGTCCTAAAAACTACTACCTACAAATTTTACTACTTATAGATGCATGCACATACTGTAAATCATGTTGAAAAAGCGACATGCAATTTTAGCGAATTTCGGTAAAATGAAGTAATAGCGAAATGCTGATTTAGCAAATCTCTCTTGTCTTTGTTGATTTCCTGTTTTCATAATACTTGTCTGTCGTATGCACAGTTATCACCTCCATAAAAACAAAGAAAAACTGTCAAGTGTAATTAGGAAACTCCCCAGATTTTTATGTTCTGTATTACTGTATACTAATCCCCAAGCCTTGGCCATTTTGATTTTATAATAAAGTCATTAGCGACATTTTGAATTAGCGAATCAGTTCTCTTGCTAAATTCGCTAAAAAGACATGTTCGCGAAATGAGACACGTTTTACAGTAGCTAAAGCATATTTTAAAAACTGGAATTCTAATAAATATATATTCACATATGGGATAAAACTACAAAAATTAAAAATTCAACACTATACACAGTTTATTGCATTTTAAAATAATATCATACTTTTCAAATCAGCCAGCTATAATCGGGTGACCAGCACCCAGTCAGAATCAGTGATTAATTACTTGCTTAAAGCAAAGACAGTACAAAATGAGAGAGAACAAAACAAGAATGTAAAAGTCCCCATGTTTGCAAGAATTCTTAAATAACAAAATAATTCATATTGAGCAAAGAATATTTTCATTGACATGCATTTATACAGCCATCTTGCAGTTAAATTTAGTTGGCAATGAAACATATTTACAAAATATATATTTTCAAACTTGTTGAAATAAACTGACAAAGGAATAGTAACATAATATCATATTTGTTGGAGCTAAAAAAAAGCTGCATGCTGAGACTAAGCACACTACACTGTCGAATGTCATTATGATAGATGATAGCCACACACAGCTCTGTCACAGACCAGTCACTGGTAGCATAGTGGTTGTCGCTCCAGACTCATGATCGGTAGACCCAAGTTCAAATCCTACCTTAGGCTGAACATTAAAGGGTCAACCCCTACCTTGGGTGAGTGTGCCACAAACTCAATGGGAAGGCCAATTCCACTGGCCGAGATTCATTCACTAACGAATGCGACTTTGGGGGAACCTTTGTTAAGGTCCGCAGGTGCTTGTGTTCGACCGAGCCTGGTTGACGCCAGGATAGCGCATTAAAATTGTCATTTGACAGAGAGATGGCCACACAGCCCTGTCATGTAGTCCCAAACATGAATATAACTTCTGTGACAAAATGACACTATGTGTCAGCACTTGCACTTGCAATTTGCTCATACAAAAAAAAAGTCAGGAGGGACAACGGTGACATTCAATGTCCAGAACTGTCGCCTGGCACAAAAATATTTAAAAAAAAAAAAACTTGTTGAAATGAACTGACAAAGGAATAGTAACATAATATCCACTATCATGTTTGTTTTAGCTAAAAAAAGCTGCATGCTGAGACTAAGCACACTACACTGTCGAATGTCATTATGATAGATGATAGCCACACACAGCTCTGTCACAGTGTCCTCACCATGGAAAGTGATTTCTATAAAAGCCCTTTTTACATAATCAGATTTATTGGACCAAATAGGGGTTTACAATGATCAGTTTCTGATTGGATTATTCTGATGAAATTTATTACGTCCGATTTCCAAAAAATCTGATCAAACATCAGATTTTGCTGATTACATAATGCAATTGTGTCTGACTGGAGATCAAATACATCTGTCTTTACATAAATCTGACCAGATATAAGATTTTGCAAGTTACATTTTCCAATTTATCTGAACAGATAAATTAAACAGTGTAACTTATGCCAACACTTGTAATTATTACATTAAAAAGTCAATAGAAAAATAATGACATTTAATATGTACAGAAGTGTCATCTAAAAAATAGAAATTACATAAAAATTCTTGCAAACTTTGATTGATATGTGCTGTATAAATGATGAAAAAATGCTGCAAATGCAGACAGATAGACAAACGGATGGATGGATGAACGGACGGACAGACAGACAGACAGACAGACAGACAGACAGACAGACAGACAGACAGACAGACAGACAGACAGACACACCCACCCACACACACACAGAGACAAACAAATCACCATTCCAATGGTTATTAAAGAAACATTTCACAAGAATGTAAAATCACAAGACAATATGTTTCAAAACCTAATTTTTGTTAATAATGTTATGTTGTCTCTCATTCTTTGTATTGAGTAGAATTAAAAATGAGCAACACAAGAATTGTATTTCTCTATTCATCACCATAGCAATAAAGACAAAAATTGCGGTCATTTTTAATACAAATCGATGAACTTTTGTGAAGCTGTAATTATTAAAGTGTGGTGATTTTCATGATTCTTGTGTAAAATTTTGTATGAAAAAAATGTGTATGCGTTGCATTATTTGCAAGGCCGTGTAAAAAACCTGATATAATTTGACCTCCTAAATGAATAGTTCTTTGCCTTTTTTCAAAATATATTATTATAATGTGTATGAAAGCAAAATGTCACATAAATGATTAATTTTTAATGCAAAGATCAACAGTAACTATGGTAACTTCAGCAATTACAATTATTTCTCTTTCATCATAAATATAATCTTCATATTCTAGAAATGTTCAGTTTTAATCATCATAGTTTTCTCATTTTCCAGAACTCTTTTCACAAAAGTATCCATTTCATCACTGGAGATTGACTTTGGTTCATCTGTAGTGTCCACAAGATTGAATTCTTCGATTGGTGGATAGAAAGCAGCCTTGCGGTGATTGGACCATCTGACCACACATAACCGTGGATACACAAACAGTGACGGCAGAATGGTGTCGTTAATTCTGGATGTGTTTTCTGTGGATAGATAGAGTAAAAAAAAATTACAATCTTATAATCAGAAAGACTTTTGAAACATATTATGATAATTATCCAAGTCAACTTTTGTCAGTTTCACAAATTTAATTTTTTTTTTTCAAAAATGTCCAAAACCAATGCTAAACTATGTAAACTATGTAAATTTAGTCCAAAAAAAAATACCAGTACATGAATAACACGCAAAATGTTGCCATAATTGGTTTATTCAGTCATTACAGTTTATGCAATCCCTTTTCATATATTACACAACCCATCACAGTTTGCTTTTTTTGCACGATAAACAATTTTATTGTTGCAATATACTGCATACTACATTATTTTCACTGAAAGGATGATTTAATGAATATAAAATCCAGCAAAATAATCATTTTCCCCATATTGCGTATATTCAACTTGTCAAAAATCAGTGAAAATATTAAGTTCCATACAAAACAAAACACGCAAAAATTTTTCTCAGCGAAAATTAATTTTCAGCTAAAATAAAATATTTTACTGTAATCAGTCACTGGCTTTAATACATAGCCTGCTGTAACCATTTTTTCCCCATTCATTTCAACTATCAGATTAATATTGACCTAGGATTACTTGATAACCGTAAATTAAGCTTTCTGACTTTCTGACAGTGAACACTAGGTATACATGTATCCGTGTGTAAGAATCTACTTGGATCAGTGAAGTCAGCGTAAGACAGTTAGTGAAATCGCAAATCGTCTTTCTCACAACCACTTTCAAATTATGAAATCACAAATATTTGTAACGAGGACAATTTAACGGTTTACAGTTTATGACTTCAAATAAATGAGTTCAGGAATCAAATATCAAGATGGTATTCTGTGTTTATAGAGTGTTGGTCCTAAATATAAGCTGACACGAAAAAAAAAAAATGACATTTAAAACAAATACTACAACCAGTATGCTTATCAAGCTTACTAAGATAATGCTCTAATGTTCTCAATACTGTTTATTGTTATTGATTAAAATTGATCCAAAAAAAAACTGTGACAAAAAATGAATATATATATGGTTCCCAAGTTTGTTTTGTTAACATTACCACAAAATGCTACAACTTTATTATTGTGTATATTATGATAAGTATTAACCTTTTCACCACCAGTTCCCTTTACTCATCACAAATTCACAAAATAGTTCCATTTATAGTCTGCACTACCCTTCAGAAATTTGTGACAAAAATAGCCAAATTTTTTGAGTAAAAACTGAAAATTTGCACAAATTTTGTCTGTTCCCTCTAAAATTAGGGTTCATTTCTAGAAATATCAAGAAAAAAAGTGCAGAAAAATTTGGGTGAGAAAGTCTGGTGGTGAGAAGGTTAAGCTTTGAAAGTAGGCAAATGCTGTAAAAGATGATTTAGATGAACATCATGTTTCTGTTATGTCGTTCGGCATATTCCTCATTCATTTCAACGCTAAAATGAGGTCAAACTAACCTTGACCCACCGCAATAGCAGATATTATTTAAACATGTCTCCAACAGTTGTGTTTATTTCCCATCGATAACTAGGACTAGTGTTTACTAACTGATGATCTATTATAATATGCAAATGAGTAGACAAACAAATGTATAAACCTCAGAAAATATACTGGTAGTCACGACAATAATAGATCACTGGATGTAATAACAATGTTTGAATTCTGTTTTACTTTTCATTTAAAATTGTTTGAACCAAGTTTATAGTTGAAGTGAAAAAAATGTTTTCTGAAATCCTCCACGGATAGCCAAAATGAATGTCCGAAGACGATGTTAGAACAACTGTAAAACATGTCATTTTAGCTAGTGTGCCATTTCAGCTAATTTAGCTAATCTGTAATTTCGCTAGTTCAAGATGTCGCTCAATTTAACAAAAGTATATTCTGTCAATGAAATTGTTGACACTCTAGCTAAATTGAGGTAAAGTGCTACAAAGAAGATAAAATATTTTTCATTTTTTTCATTTTTACATGTTTAATATTTCATATCACAAGGATGAAGAAAACAGAATAAAGATATGAGGTCACCTACTTGGTTTTGAGAAGATTGATGTACAAAATGAAGTAAAAATAGCATGTATTGTCGGTTTTAGGGCATTTTAGGGCATATATCAATATCTTAAAATTTTGCTCGGTGAAATATGGTGAAACAAAGATATATATGTACTTTTTGATGTTTATAAAGTATTAAATGGACAATATTTTTAGTGGGTTTTTATTGAGGATTTTTACTATTATTATGCATATTATTTTAAAGAATGACAGTGAACAAAAAATATACACATACCATTGACGAATACTAAAATGAATAATTATAGACAGATTTTGACACAAAATATTTCTACTGTTATATGCGCTAAAATATGCGCATATCTAACAAATTTGCGAGTAGCATTCTACCCTAAGATTCTGTTAATTCATACATTATTCGCAAATTACAAATTCACTGAAATGTAGCTATTTTAATGTGTTTTACAGTATATGAAGGCAACACCATATTTGGTCTATTATTAGTAGTGTACATACACCTACGTACAAAAATTTATCCAGCCCCTACAAAAGTAAATGCCTTGCCTTAGGCCTTGTACAACTGGTATGTGACTTCTTTCAGGGATACTGTACAGTAATTCACTAAATACAATATGAGGATCTGTAGTGATAATTCTATTATGTAATGAGGATCTAGAGGACAATGATCAATTGTTGATTTAATTTTTTCACCACCAGTTTCCTGTTTTCATCACAAATTCACAAAATAGTCCTGTTTATAGTCTGTACTTTCCTTCACAAGATTAGCACAAAAATAGCCCATTTTTTGGAGTAAAAACAGAAAATTGACCCAAATTTTCGTCTGTTGGTTCCAAAATTAAGGTAATATGGAAGAATATAAAAAAAATTTTGAGTGAGAAAATCTGGTGGCATACAGAGCTTCAGGTAATACACCACCATTGGACTTTCGATGTATTTTTTACATATAGACAATTTTTTTTTTTCACTACGAGATCCCATGTAAAGCATGAAATCAAATGCAAAAGAGGTCAAACAAAGGTCAAAGCATCAAAGGTCATTTGGATGAAGTAAAGATATCTCAACGCAATATCCTCCCTCTTAAAGAAAAAAAAATTAATTACTTAAAAATCAAATTTTATTTTTGCGGCAGATGTCCATATCTTTCATGCAATATGCAAGATCTGAACAAAAAATCATCTTTTAGTCAAAATGAGTTGACTACAAGTGGGGGGTTAATCACGGGGGTGGGGGTCGGGGGGGGGGGGTGATTCGAAAAAAAATTATACAGCAAAAAGTACCACACACTTGATAGATATAGGCAAATCACTGCACCATTACCGGGGGGGTGGGGGGGTGGGGGTGGGGGGGGGGTTGTCTAGCTGTAAGTATAAAAGCTAAATATAAAAAACAATAATTTGCATATCTGTTTTACCATCTTTTCTAATAATTATAACCCCTATATTTCAAAACAGGTTCAAGTTGCAAGGACCACTCTGTACCCTTGATTGACAATTAGGTCAGGCTCTCAATAATGAGGTCACAAAAAATAAAAGTATAACCTGACCCTATTGGCTACATGTCTAATCAAAACAGTTGTAAAAGGGCAGTTGCTATGGTGACAGGGTAATCAACAGATCTTATCTAACCTAGAAGTTCACCACCTTGACTTTTTAATGACCATTATCTTTGATATTAAATCACTATCATGGTCAAGATTATCACATAGGTCACATGACTTCTGTATTTCAGTTATGATTGATTAAGTTTAGTATTTGTACCAACTCAGAATGAATTTTATTTTCGCTATTTTTATTGAAGGAATGATTCAGTGAAAATAAAATCCAGCGAAGATACCTCAGTGAAAAATCAGTGAAAATAAATTCTATACAAAACACTCAAAATGTCATTTCAGTGAACATTAAATCCAGTTATAACATAAAGTATTTTACTGTATTGTTATAGTGGTCTCGCACCATTATTTAGACTCACTCTATAGGCCACAGTGTGAAAACATGAAAAACAGTACTACAACCAAGGACAAAGTAGCATGTTCAATACACTGCGAGTCAGGACAGAGTAGTATTTTTTATTTTAAATAGATGCTGCAAATCTAGAATCAGGATACAACCCAATCTCCCAGGTAGAATTCTATTTCTACGAATATATATCTCTACCACACGACCTTATGCTCGTCATTGATTGGTCAATGCATCACAGTGGTACTTCTTTCAAAGACGCTCACCAAATAACAAAAATATGCAAATAATTGGCGTAGTTAAAGTCTTGTGGTGTTTCACCACAAAATGGCAGTGTGTGGTGGCAGAGATACATTCGGTGATCTAACCGCAAGGAACTCTGGGAAGGAGAATGGGTACAACCCAGGACAGAATAGTGTGTTCGCAAAATGATGGTATTCAAAATGTTGCGGTCAAAAGATTTAAAAAATATCTATAAGACTATAAACAGGACTATTTTGTGAATTTGTGATGTAAAGAAGGAACTGGTGGTGAAAAGATTAAGCGAGCATGGTGTAACAGAACACTGTAGTGGCGTCAACATGATAGTATTTTTAGTATTTCCATGCTTAATAATTTGCTATACATATTTATAGCAAATTTTAATAAAGTAAGGGTATTTCAAAATACATATTTCCCTCTAGAAGATCAACATTTTGACATTGAGAAGAAGAAAAAGTAAAAAATCACATCATTTGATTTTTGCGACAGACGTTTAGTTCGTGCCTTTCACGTAATATGCAAGATCTTGCAGTGGAAGAAAACTATTAATACATACATGAATGTTTTATGAATATTTACTGCAAGTTACTCATCTCATTCAAGATCATAGATGCAGCTCATCAGAGACATTAAACCCAAAAAGGTCTACAGGCAACAAACTCCATATGTCAGTGAAATCGAGTAGACATTCTGAAAATCCTGAACCTTGACATTAGGCAGTTTCAACTCACAATTTTTTTGTACTTGGAGTACAGTGTCAGTTCACTCTGTAGAAAGGTGAATTATTCATATCAGAAAATTAAAGATAACACAAAGTACAACACTTATAATATCTAATAAACATTAAGATTATCTGATCACATATTTATTTCACTCATTGCAGGCATTGGAAAAGATAAAGTCATCAAAAGTACCCTCATTGATAAAAGTCTAATAAATATTTATTTATTTTGTCACTTCATCAGAGATCTGATGGCTCTGGTACTCAGGAAGGGTTGAGCTGCGTCAAGTGTAGCCGTGCTATCAGCTACTACATGTATTACGATGCTGGGTCTAAAGAGTGTATGGCAGCGAGCAACAGAAACAGCAAAAAGATGTTTTTTCATCATCTCCATCTGGTAAGATGTCATATTTGGAAGACTGCTTTACAGAAATTGCTAATATTCATAGAGCTGTTGCTACAGTATATGATCCACTAATGATACAATGTATTTGTGAGCAGCAGTTAAAATTGAAACGAACATCAGGTTGTTCAGTAGGACTGGATATCATCAGGAAAATATTTGTCCAATAAAGTTTTTTTATGAAGAATTCCCATGCAAGTATCTGTCATCTTTCACAAAATAAGTTTGAATAATTTTTGGTGGTTGAAAACTATTATTATAGTGAAAATGTAGACACTATTATAGTGTATCATATTAGGTTTGTTTTGTGTATTTATTTTCATAGTTTTCTCAATCAGTTTTCAGATTTGGTTGCTAATGACAACCAAACAGTGGCCATTTTTTTTCTGACCTAGTGTACACATTGATGTACATATTGCAACTACTAGTATACAGATTTTAGTTATGTTGTTTAATTTTATGGCAAACTGAAAATTATGCAAAAAAAAAAAGTCAAAAAAAATACTTTCCAGTTTAAAAATCTGCAGTTGCTATAAAAATTATTATATTTTCTAGTCCTAGTCGTCAAGGTCAACTTCTGTTACCCTTCACAAAATAATGCTACATCAATTTTCTGTTATTTTTAACAAATTCTGGTCAAGATCAGTAACCAATGTGCAATTATGCACATTTGGTTCAAAATTAATAAAGGACTTACAGAAAAATAGACAAAATGAATATGGCGTTAAACGGGAGATCTCACACAAGCAAAAGGTTCATACTAGATGTGTTGAATTATAGGCAGGATTTTGAATTCAGAAAAGATCATATCACCTCAAGATCATGTTTTATTTTTTTTACATGGAAAGACAACAAACAAATTATGCAACATATATAAGACATATACAAACTCCTCAACTTACCAATAATGTTTCTTCTATAGTCAGCAGGAATAAACTGAGCAGACCAGCCTGGAAACTCATCAACATCCAACGTTGTCGTTATAAGGAAGTTATAATACTTATAAGCAACATGCGTCAAGTCCTGAGAAATGAGAAATAAAACATTTCAATTACCGGTATCATTGACAACCAGAAAATATAACATTTCAGACATTATTTTTGCACCGTTTCATAAATAGTAAAGTGAATGAATCAATTTTAAGACCAATTAAATGATGGATGCAAAACAGAGTATGGTGAAAAAACATTAGCAGCATTAAGAAGCAATTACTAATTTCATAAGTTAAAAGTCAGACAATGGACAATACATGTAATCAATGTATTTGACACAGGTGGTATACATCGTTTGTGACCCATATCGAACAAGACAACTATCACATGTAATCAATGTATTTGACACAGGTGGTATACATCGTATGTGACCCATATCGAACATGACAACTACCCATGTGAATATTTTCACTTCAAAATATACGAATTTTTTGGTTCCACAGAAAGTCCCTGGTTGTTACTGAGCAACTGTGTGCTTGCCCCAGGTTCTCACACAGGGAAAACACATACTTGTATGTTATTTTCAAGAAATGTTGTACGGAGGAGACCAATATGTGTGCATATAAAGGAAAAACACAGTTTTCATATTTTACAAATTTTTTACAAACTTTGAAAGTAACCTAGATGCCTACAAAACAGATTTAACATAGTCAGAGAAAAACTGATTGTACAGCTAAATAACCAGCTGAATGGAAATGTCTCGATCAATAATGATGCCTTCCTCTGCTCCCCCCTTTTTTGTGTGCAAATAGCAGCAAAGCAACCAAAAAAAACTTAGAACTTGGGAGCCTGGATTGACTATACCGTTTTTGCAAGCTGGTATGATCCTGATTAAACGAACATCTGTTGACGCTAACAATAACAAAAAAAATGTAATTTCTTAATTCTTGTGTTGATATCGCTTGTGATACTGTAATTGTCATTCAGAATTTCTAGTTGTTTAGTTGCGAAATTTTACAACGAAATTGTATTGCTGATATTGAAGTTCTGTGTTGGACATTATGTAGTTCAACCGGCTCTGTTTATGTATGTACAAAGGTTAAATGGTGTACACAATTGCGGTTTCATCGCAGGTGAGGTCACCATAATCTAATCTGAGATAAGAAGGGCTTCAAATGAGTACATTGGTATCTCCATCAGACACACATAAAGGAATGACCTAGTGCAAAAACTCATATTGTTTATATTATAAACCAATTTTAGCAAGCGATGAATTATCACAAATTTTGAGAATCATGGAAAATTATGAAATACTGCAGCAATGAAGATTTCATTGCGGTCGTTAACCTTTCTACAATAAAGTCAACTCTTGTCAACCATTCACAATACAAACTTATAAAAAAATTTGAAAATTTAAAAAAAAAATTTGATCAAGACCTGCAGACAATGGGAAGCTGAGTCCATTTAATTAAAAATAAGAAATTATAGAAAACTATCAAAAAATTGGCAAAATTTTGCCACAGAATGTTGGTTGGAAAAATTATGGTATTCAAATTGTAAAGACAGCTACATTTGTGACCTTACCTCTCAAATTAGGAAATATTTCTAGTGGTGACAATTTTAACGGTTTACAAAACTCAAATTGGGTCACGAATGAATAATTGTTTGGACGTTTAAGTACAATTATACCAATATAATAATAAAGGGTGATTGTTAGTCAAAATAAACCCATGATACTGAACTTTGGCCAGCTAAACATGTTTGTTGATTGATTAATACCTCCAAAAAATGTTATCACGCAAAGTATTTGCATGTTAACTATGTCAAAAGTTACCGCCAAAACTGATAATTACCGGGCATTCCTGTAGATTTCTTTTGGTGATTGAGTTTTCAGAATCGTACATGTCATTCAAGTTTACCAAATTGCACTACCACAAACTCAAAATGTGAAGTAATCCCCGCATGAGATTGAACCATGATCAGTTTCTGATCTGTGATCAATTTCATGTACAGCCAGTTTCAAATTTACAAAATGGCTCTTCATATTGTTACTGTGTTCAAGAAAACATTGAACATTACATTACATACACTTTAATACTAAGCGAGTTGAGTTTAAAGGGCGGTGGTCGTCGCACTGCACATATCCGTCATTTGTGTTGATGAGCATTGATTTCCCCATAATCCAGTGCGCTCTTCTAATGGAAATCCAAAGTATGAGGTTTGACCTCAGCGCGACTTGCACTAATTCCCCCGGTGACTCCTTTGATACCTCCAATCATCTAAATGAATACCTAATTAGAGCTTGGTAAGGTCTCAGTTTGTACTCGTTGATCTGCGCAACAGTCAAGGTCGCCATCTTTGAGACTCGTATATCTCGGGCATGCGTAGCGCGACAACTACCACCCTTTAATACTCACTAGATTATAGCTTGTCCAGATACAAAAAAATAACATGCATGTTATATTTAATGAATTTGGTACATGGCCTAATTTACTTAAATTTTAAATGAAACATAGAATGACAACACAACTCTATAAATAATATTTTACCTGTAAAAATGGAGACTTCTCGGTGATGTTATCACCATGTGCCAGTGCTATCAGTATTGGTAACTCCTGTGCACTTCCACTTTTCCTGTTAAAATAACAACAAAGTATTACAAAGTTGCTGTGTGGTAAGGTACATGTAATGCATTTCGTCACTGACGGATGATATTCATAATTTTTGACAACTAATAAAGCATATTGTAAAACTGATTTACCACTTCACCACATTCAGTTGAAAATGACAAAAATAATGAAATTATAGCTACGCATATTTAAAAATATCTGAGAAAATATAGAAAAACAAATTTCACTGACCAGTTAGAGCTTGTATGAAAAGAGGTTTCTGTGATTTGTGTCACGGGCAGTCTTCTGTGGTCTTCAATAAAATCCACCAACATATCGGTACAAGCAGCATGGTCATCCTCACAACGTTGACCAGGTCTTATGTCATATCTGCAAACAAAAACATGACTTTCATAATACATGTAGTAAATCTTGCAGTACTGTGCCGAATCAGTTGAGTACCAATGCAATAAAACAAAATCTTAGTTTTGGCTTCTTTATTTTATTTATTTTTAAATATGTATTTACCTCAAAGTACATGTGTATGCATGAAGACAATACAGCGGGAGTATCGATCGCCGTGCAGTGGAGGTCGATACGATGGCGTACTGTCCGAGTAAACATTCCATATTTGGAATTCGCATTACCTTATATGGTAGAATTAAAATACCCTGTAAAATACCGCAAAATTTTGGCACTCTGTAACTTATGGTGTTACAGTGACAGTTGTATAATAAATAGTATTTCATTTTATTTTATTTTGTTTTTTGTTAATATAAATTACTTATTCATTTGCTTGTAGTTTTTTTTTTCCAAAGTTTTGGTGGGCTTTCGCATTTACCAAAACTTTAAAAAACACCAAAAAAAAAAATTAAATACACATTTGAAATAAAAAAAAAAAAAAGCTTATTTTAATCAGATTGGTTATAGACAAACACACTTGTTTACACTAAAAATATTTCAATGGCACAAAAGTTACAAATCTGTTGCTATCCGCATTTTTGTTTACTTATTTGTTTGTCTGTATCAAAAGTATCCATGAATAATTAATCATAATGCTTGGTGATGTCATTCCTGAACTATCGCATTATTACCGTATAATTTTTTTTTTTTTTTTTAAACATTTTTTGAAAACAAGAAGGAAATGACAGAGATTTGGCGCTTAGTAAACTTTAGAGAAGTAAGGTTAATACGAACCTGGAATTTACCACACCAGTGTCATTATTTCTGATTTTATCAATAAGCACAGTAAATGGCACAAAATGGCAGATTTCATAGAAATTTCATCTGGATACAATTAGTTTAATTCTACGATTTCTAAGGTCATTCAAGTAAAGCTAGCTGCAGGCTATGAATACTGTGAAACAAAAAACTTAAACACATTAGATCTTGTATATCTCCCCCACCTGTCATGGCAAATCACCACCTGTTGTGCTTCCAAATAAAATGACTGCATAAAAATGATGTTGTAATAAATCTTTTCATGTAATTATCAATTATTGTAATTACTTAGTCTATCTGTGATGTATTTCCTTGTTAAAAAAAAATATCAATTTGGTGTATTTTGCAAGAACTGCACAAACAGAACTATGAGGGAATATGCCCTTACGAGTTAATTCGTAAAGTGTTCTTTTATCGTTTAAGTCTCCAAATACATTTAACTTTTAACAACAAATGTGTGTTTTTTCACTTAGTTTCTTCACCTACTGAGGCCATTTTTTCCATTAATTTTGGCTTTTTACAGACACTGTATTAATCGCTTGATTTGTTTTTTACAGTGATTTGTTTAAAATTGTTTTAAATCAGTAAAATTCGCTTTTATTAATAAATGACAGACAAACAAGTCATTGAAAATGACACAGTCCCCGTTAAATTTTTGAAAGTTCTCTTTGTGCTCGTCATATTAAAGCAGAGGGGTTGTCGCTAGCGTGTCCTTGAAACTTGAGTTCCAAGTGGCGTATACAACAGATTGTTTATTTACATCAAAACACATGTTCCGTGTAGTAGTAATGTGGCCAAAAATAAAAACGGCCGTTATTCGGCCATCTTTGATCTGATTATGAAACACACTGATATGTATGATGTATGTGCCAAATACGAATGAAAATGGTACATAAATTGTGGAAATATAGTAGTAAGGCCAAAAAGTCAGATTGCTGTCAATCGGTCATCCTTGACCAGATTTTGAAACAAACTGTCATGGACATGCATCCTAACATGTATAAATTGCATGTACGTATGTGCTAAATTTAACGAAAACTGACAGAGCACGTCCAAGATACCGCATAAAAAAACAAAAACAAGATGCCTGTCAGTTGACCATCTTTGATCCAATTGCAAAATAAATCGTCATGGACATGTATCCTAACATGTATAAAGTACATGTATGTGCCAAATTTAATGAAAACTGACAGAGCACGTCCAAGATACCGCATAAAAACAACAAGATACCTGCCAGTTGACTATCTTTGATCCAATTGCGAAATAAATCGTCATGGACATGTATCCTAACATGTATAATCAATGTACCAAGTTTGAATGACAACTGACAAAGCATGTCCAAAATACAACATTTTCAAAAAACAAGATGGCGTCTAGTCGGCCATTTTGAATCGAATCGCTAAACCACTGCATGTGCACATGTCCCACATAAAGTACTAGGCACATGCAAAGAATGAACGGAATCGGTCCAAGGGATTCTGAGATATGACTCCGGACAGACGCATGGACGCACGGACGCACGGAGACCGAATTATAAGTCCCCGTTTTCGGTCTTCGTCCGAACAGGGACTAAAAAAAACAACAATGAAATAATTTTTGCAATTTTTACCAAAAACAAATACAACAAAACTTAGTGAAACTAGTGAAATGGTTAGGTGAGAAATGAAAAGTAAACTGAAATAATCCACAGTGAGTTGCCCTTCTATAAAGCAGAATAATTTTTTAAAATGATTTTTTAATATGCTAGTGGGAAAGTTTCATATTTTAAACCAGTTCTGTATTTTGATTTTTTTTAATCTGTATACAAATCACAATACTTATCAAAATATTATGGAGTAAAAGAGCGTTCAATTAATTAAAAATATCTGAAATAATATTGACATTTAACAATCATTACTCAAAAAGAAAAAAATATTTTTTTTCACCAAATTGAAGATGAGCAAGATTTAATTGTTAATTGCCAAAGCGGACTGTTGTCACTTTCAAAAATCAAATCTACGAAATTGTTTCCAGATTTTTTCAATAACTTTGATCAATATCTGGAGCCAATGATTATTTTTGACTATTTGGTCTAAAAATAAAAAAATAAACTTTAGAAAATAGCATAAAAATGTGCAAAAAATGGACCAAAAACTTAAGAAAAATAATGGGGTTTTATGAGGTACAAAGCTATTCAAATTCGTGCAGTAAATTCTTAGTACTGAATTGTGGGTAATGTAAGCAAGAGACGTAAAGCCTATCTACATGAAACAGGAAACAAAAGATACATTGGCAAATAAATAACACTTAGCGGTCCAGTCAACTACTTCTCAAAAAGTGAAAATGTCTCCCAGTGAAAATGTATTTCAGAAATATGCCTGTAAGTAATTTAAAAGTGAGTACGTGCCATCTGTCTTGGTGTTTAGAAAAAAACTTATATAAGATTTACAATTAAAACCAAGATGAAATTGTTCTACGAATGAAAGTAAATTACGAGAGAAAATTATAAAATCTTGTCATATATTGATATTTAAAATAAAGAAAATACTGGCAGATTTCAGGGAGTATTTATATATATATATATATATATCACACCTTGTTTTGTATTATTTGACAATTTTAAGAAGACTGTGTGTGCATTAAATGTTTATCACAATTAGTTGGTTGTCTGTAACTTGATCCCGGATATGTTTTTCTGTTCAAATGTGCCTTCTGGAGGTGGGGGGAGGCTCTTTGTTTGCATACATAGTTACATTGATGTTGAAAATAAACTATAGATTGAACATCAGGGGTTTATCTAGAAAAAAATTGCAAGAGGGAGCACTGCAATTCAGCAGAGCCACCAAGTGGGAGGGGGGGGGGGGGTAGGGTTCTCCCTACCAGGGTGTGGAGTTTTTGATAATTCTAAGTTAAGCTTCCTTGAGGCCAAAATTACTATCAGACAGGTCATAGTTGTAGACTGTGGCCACATGTGATGTCAATGTCAATCAGCCTAAGAATTTTATGGTTGCCAAACAATCTGCTCCCCGGGGTAAGGGAGCGCATGGCCATGGTATGAGGGCGCTGAACCCCTGTTACCTTGTTTAAAAAAATTCATGAACATAAATGTGATGAAAATAAAATCACTTCTTTTTGTAATTTTGTTGACCTAAATAAATTTGTTGAGAAAATAAAATATTATATGTACCGTTTATTTTCACTATTTTGATTTTTTTGACCATGAGTTTTATTGTTATTTGAACATTATCACATAGATTTAATTTAACAGATTTTACTTATAAGCGAAAATAGCGAAATTTAAACCCAGAAAATATTTCTAATGCATTTACAGTAGAGCAACTTGTTAATTTTTTTCTCTAGAGGGCACTGTTTCGAAAAAGGCAATAAGGCTCTGTAATAGACTTCCCTATTCAAACAATCCTCGGGGGCGGACATCTGGGCATTTTCACTGCCTGACAACCATCGCGGTGAAAACAAAGGCCAAAAAATCGTAGAAAACAGTACTTTGGGATGTTATTGAGACTCCCCTGAACAGTGTAACAAGATTATTCCTACGTGTGTAACATATATAAATTTGATTGTTCAGGATTACTTCAAAGTTGAGTTTGTGTTGTTTTCTCGAATTTTCATCGGCTCGACCGGCGTTCCACAGCAGCGCGCACAGAGCCCATAGAAATGCATGGTACAGTGGTGCGCGTCTTAGCAACGTGGAACGTCCTGTGATGTAGCTCCGCCCCCGAGGATATCAAATAATAGTCAAAATTATCACTTTCAACATCAGACCAGACCAAAAAAAAAAAGCCAGTTGTTCAAAAGAAAAATTTCAAACCTTCAGAGACGAGGGCGCACTTCACTGACAAGGTTCTCATATCAAAGTAGTGGGATGTAAAAACCAACTTTGATTAATCCTCTTTCCATTTTGAAACATAAAGAAAATATTTTGTAAAATAATCCTGTGATTCATTCTATTCACGGATGTGACAATTATTGTCAGATTGTGCCTAATTTTTAGACAAAGTCACTAATGTAAATGATTGGCTAGTTTCTGATCTTCAAACCATTTAATGTTTTTTTAAATTTAACCATTTTATGAGTTAGAAAAAACACTCTGTCTGTCAAAGAATTTCATCACAAATATTTTTGTTTTTTATTCTTGATAGCTTGGTTCCTGCTAAATTAAGCTTGTATGTAAACCAGTAACCAGACAGACAATATTTTTTCAATATCTCAGATGAGCCACAACTGTTATGGCTCCAATTCTGCCATTGACCTTGAATCCAATGATGTCATACAAGCAATAATGAAGGTACACCATAAGTTCTCTAATGAGCTCTCTACCACTCTGCTGGTTCTGCTTTTTTTGTCTAAAATCAGCTGATTTTTAACTGACCAAAACTATTCAATGTCATCACAGTGTACTGTTAACCACTTTAAGTTCAAGAGCAACAAATCTTTGCAAGTCAGGGACAATTGGGAGATTTTGTAGCAGTGAAAAATCCTCAGAGGTATTAAAATTCACAAAATGTTGTTTTCACACATTGCCATAAAAACCTGATATTTTGAAAATTTCTAGCAGCAAAAATTAAACAGTTTAAGGTGTATCATCATGATCATAGTTTTCTTCCCCTACACATCGGTAATATATTTATTGCATTTTTAGAAATAATATTTTCTATCGATTAATAACAATATGTATATAAAATGAATATAATAGTAAAAGAGAGAAAGTTAGTATTACAAATCAAGAGAATTCTCATTTCTTAAAATGAAAGAATCGTGAATAAAATCACCCTAATAGCTCAATTGTATTTTCTGTCACTACTTTAATTAAATAAATTAATTTCTGCAGAGTAGTGATGGAGACAGTTTCTTTTCGGTGTGTTTGGTATTTTGGACATACCAAAAGGAAGTGCATTTCATCTTCTATGCCATGCAATGAACAAAGTCTACAGATCCTATTTTCTAATGGTGTTTTTGGATGGGTGTGCGTTCCTTTTTCAATGGGTATAAAATTGTGATTACTTGTTCTGAATCTAGTTACAGAAATTCTTTGATTTGTATTTAACACATTTTAAATTTAGTTTATGTTCTAAGTTTTGTTTTCTCATTTGTCATAATTTCTCTCCAGTAGGAGATATACTGTTGTTTAATAACGTTCTTCATTTTCATTATATTTTGCTGTGACAGTGGAGAGGTTATACGGTTGAATGTCTTTTAAAATGTTTTTTACACAGGAATCCCATTGTAATTTTGGCACTGTCTTCTATGTAATGGACTGACCTGTGTGGTGTGTGGAATTCGTGTATCTTGTTGTTGGTTTCATCTTCCAACGTCGTCATCAAAGGCATGCCTAGATTGAACAACGTCACTTCAACATGATCACGCCGAATCATTCTCACCTAGTGGCAAAGAAAATGAGAAAAAACATAATCAAGTTTTCCACTAAATATACTTTGAAATTTATATACCGTAAAATCTGTATTAGAAGCCGCATCCCTAATAGAAGTCGCACCCATTCTTTTTGAATAATTGAGAACCAAAAATTCATCATTTCTCATGCTCTAAGATAGAAGCCGCATCCCCTCTGTTGCATTGCACCATTTTGATAGAAGCCGCAGTTTCTAATACAGATTTTACAGTAATTTCTGCATTGCTTTTTAAAAGTTCATCCATTCTGGTATGATTTTGAAGTAAAATGGAAGGATAAATACAATTAGCCAAGATCACACTAGAATAGAAATGCTATATGCCTAGAGCTACTTGTGAGTATTCGCTGTACCATGCATGGGTGAGATCCGTGTTGATAAACAGTGATTTTTCCACATTAAAAGCACTCCTCAGTAGAAAGCATAAATGCAAGTTTCAATCTGGCCAAGATTTGACCGACTTTGATTCCTTTATCACATTGCCTGCTAACATAGTTTTTTCCCAATTCATTTTGACTATTTGTGTGGTTTTCAACAAGCAATGTGTGATGCAATTACCTCTTAAAACATTGGTATAATTTTTGTTTTTATAGAACAAACATTTGTACATTCACTGAATTCTTAATTTTATACCAAATTACTACCGGTAACACCAAACATAATCCTGAAACAAATTTACACAGCAAAATAGAGTAGCTTTAGTACAGGATAGCTTCAGTGCTTTGTTATTTTGTGATTTGATGCCAACTGAGTTTAAAATTTTGTCACTGTGATCACAATAATAAGTTCTGCATATAATACAAAATGGGAATGCAATTTAAAAAAATCATGGCTGTCTTGCTTAACCAACAGAAAGAAATGTTCTTAACAACAAATTATCAAGTCAAATCTGATTTGGGACAAACAACTGTAATTGATTCAAAAGAACACAAATTGAATAACAAAATTTCATGATTATACGTCCTCTGTGTCACAGAATAACAGAATCCCTCACCTGTGAAACCACCATATCTTCGTCATTGTCATCTGTGAAGTACGTCTCGGCGATGTCAGGCGTCTTCTCCGCATAACAGACTGTCTTGCCGTAGAGTCTCTCGCAAATCAACATGAAGCACTGCAGTGGGAACCACCTGCCCACTCCAGCAATGTGAGGCAGGTACTTACCGGCTATGGATAATGGATACATTGTACCAACAACACGAACGTTCTCTATCTGAAATGAACAGCACATGTATATTACTATTTTGATGAGTCAGCATAAAGTAAATATAATTTTTAGGTTTATGTACATTTCAAAAAGAATAACAGTATACTAAATTAATCATTCAATTTAGTGGATAAATGGAATATCTAATTCGTGACATAAATTTATTTATTTTTATTGAGTTTTAATTAAGATTTAAAATTCAATAAATGCATTTTTTTGGTTTTATGTGAATTTCTGTTAAAGATTTTCTCCTAATACGGAAAAGCATTCCAATACTTGAAGTCTGAGATGCATTGAATGTAAATGTGGTGCATCTTACCATAGTTTGTTTCTGTAATTCTTTTCTGCTCACTTTGGTCATTGTTGATAAGGTGACCTGCGAAAACCATTCCAGGACCAATTTGACCTGAAATGGACAAATACAAGATTGTTTTCACCATCTTGTTAAAACACCACACTACTTATGCTTCTGGAACATGGATATGGATTATTTGCCAGACCCTAATTGTAATAATAATCTTATTGCTCAAATTTCAATATTTGACTTATAATATTGTTATTATATGCCTCTCACAGGAAGTGAGTGAAATCTACACATATATCAGAAGTTAAAAAAGGAAAGCTGATATTTAATAACGGCCATGATCCTAATAAAGCTGTTGCATAAAGATGTTTCCATTCTTAAGGTAGAAGTCTACTCTATTTTTTGAGAAAGTTGGTCATAAATCGCATGACAATATTCATTGGTTTATTATGTAATATCATGAAGCTAGTGTCTCATAGAACCATGAATGTTTTGAGTGTTATAGTGACGTATTTTGGGAAATTTGTCCTTATATTTTGTCAAAAATTGCTATTTTTAGGACAATTCCGTAGAGCACAATGTTTTTTAAAGCTCAGATTTTTAAAATAATTGAGAACAATAAAAAGCACCCCATCATTCACAATATATCATTTGTTTAGCATATGTCACCAGCCTACAAGATATGACATAATATCGCTGCCATACAAACCTATGGTAAAAGTATTATGATACTGACAAAGTGGCCACTATTCACTAAAATGCTACCATCATTTTCTCAAAACTTAACCATGTATCACATTTGTGAGAATATAAAGACATGAAATATAAAAAAAATAACTTACAGTAATCGCACCGTGGTAATCAAGTCTGATATAATGATCAGTCATACTAAGGGAGATGCATTTCTCATTGTCTAACCAGTTCAGTTTGCGGTAGCCGATCAACGTGGGGAATCCCACAATCTTTTGCTCTTGACATGTAATCGGACTTGCCGTACAGTTCACCAAGTACACAGAGCAGCCATCTGAAATTATAAAGAAATATTACAGCTTTCATTTTACATTCATTAAAAAAAGCAGTCATTCTTACACCATTACAGAAAAATCTATAAAGATGTCACATAGATATTACCGGGTACAACGTAGTTTACCAATATAAAAAAAAACCAACAACTCACCAATGAATTGAACTGATTTGGCAATTTGTTGAAAAACCTCCATATTCTTAGAGCAACTCCCGCAATCTGCCTGTATATATATCACCATGGCGACCATAGCACGGTCGGTCAATTTTAGTGTTGGTTTGCTGCTACTAAATGGCTGCGATAATGCTGATATATCTGTAGATTCAATGACTGGCACCCAAGTAGTGTCAGTCAATACTGGAATTTTTCCTATTTTTTCCAGCTCTGGAAACACTTTAGGAGTCTGTGACAGAAAAAAAAAACAAGAGTGGGTAGTGAATTATTCTAAACTACAGAGGGTACTCATGTACTTTATTTATCAATATACTGAGATTTTGTTGAGATGTTACCCTTCTGAAATACTAAATTTACTGTGACGAATTGCGTTTTATATTTGCCAAATTTATTATTTAATCAATCATGTTTATTTCTGCGGAAATTGATAATCTTGAATATTTGTTTGTTTAAATATAACAAAATAAAGATGATTAAATCTTACCGAGATATTGTTTTTGACAAAATTGACGGGCAATTTATTAAAATAAAAATTCGAGGAAAAAATATTGGTAGCTATAGCTATTGTGGCTTCAAGGGAGAAAATAATCCCTACCAAGGATATATAAGATAAGGGCATGCCACTGGAATGATACGCAATGAAAATCCAAATGTAAATTTCAAATGAGTGAACCTGTGAAACAAATGGTTTTTGTTCATCTCAGGCTGTTTTAGTAATAATTTTGTTTATTCATAGAGTTTGTATTGCATGTTTTTCTGTCTTTTTGCAGATGTCAAAAACCCTGCCCATTATGATTTACACAATCAAACCTACACAACAGAAATGCATTGAACAAATGTGTGTGAAACTCATAAGAAATGATATCTTAATGCAATCTCACAATACACAAATATCAAAATTGTATACCCTCATCCTTGTCTGTTTCATTCACCTGTGTTTGTGAGTTTTTATTTTCAGTCGTTTTATTTCCCCTGCTGGCATTCCCCGATTTCACCATTTTACTGGAATCCCTTCTCCACTGCGTTGGATAATAGAAATCTTCCTGTTGTTTCGACAGGTGAGTTGTGTTATCATATGCTGTACATATCGGTGATGAACTGGTGAAGCCATATGATACCTGTCAAATGTGAAGTGAAACAATATACACGTATTTATGTGCATGTTTTGTGATAACCATTTCTGTCTTTACCCCAGAGCAAAACAGAGTATGATATCAACATACCCCCCTCCCCTATTACGTCAATCCTGGAGATTGCTGATGACCTTAAGTTTCCAACCAATAAATGCAAATAAAACGAGGAAGCCAACAAACTTGTTTCTCCCATAATGTAATGTCCTAGTCTGGCGGCCATTTTGAATCGATACAATTGCGGTTCATAATTCAAAACCCTTCATTTCATTTTGTAATAAGTCATCTCAGGAAATAAAAAACTCTATGTACATTAGTTTAAATGTTGCATGCATGGAATTTCTTATAATCAGTTACCTTCAGATGATTGGCAATGAAGCTGCTGACAGCATTAACCAATCAAATCATTGGTAATAGCTACCGGTAATTGTGATGCTGTATATCTAGATTAGTGTCTAGACTAATAGAAGCAGAGAAGCTGCAGAACATAAACAATCTATTCACCAACAAACACACCAACATAAACCAGAATTCTCGAGAGCGGACATCCGGGCATTTTCACTGTCTAGCAACCATCACGGTGAAAACAAAGGCCAACAATTCTTTGGGTAAACTCGTACTGAGTGTGTGACAGTACTTTGGGATGGTTGTTGAAACTCCCTTGAACAGTGTAAAAAAATTATCCCTGCGTGTGTAACACATACAAATTTGGTTGTCAAGAATTACTTAAGTCGGTTTTGTGCTGTTTTTCTCAAATTTAGCTATTTTCATCGGCTTTTCAACCGGCGTTCCACACCAACTCGCGCAGAGCCCATAGAAATACATGGTACAGTGGTGCGCGTCTTAGCAATATGGAATGTCTTGTGACGTAGCTCTGCCCCGAGAATACTGCTTAATCCTAGCGAGCTATCAATGAAACTAACGCCCTCTCACATTAGAGGAGAGAAACTCACAGGTAAATGATTCGGATGACTCATCCATGAGGCGTATCTAATTGAATTGCCGCTGTCATCTTCCAACGCGAGTCCATTTTCCATCAGATGTTCATACACCGTAGTTGGCGTTGGGAGTGCATGGCCCAATATCTTCTGTATCAGCTTGGTCTCTGAAAAACACAGTCACACATTAATCAGCGAATAATTTCTCCAACCCAAATGCTTGTTCATATTTGCTCATTTTTATATATTTTTCTGTAATTTATAATTGCTTATGATTCTTGATCAATTTTGCAGAGATTTTGAAAAAAAAAAATGGCATGGATTTACCATCTCCAAAAGTAGACATAAACCCCCAAATTCCATTTAATGTATGCTAGATCATTAAACTATGACTCATTTTGACCGTAGTCACAGCCCTGTCATTTACCGGTATGTAAGTGCATGCACTACAAATAGAGTAAATATGGTATTGGAAAGTGAATCCAAATTATTTTGACCATGCACTGTATTTTGAGAAACATGATGAAAGATGATATTGAATTTCAAAGTGCCAAGGTTGCTTACAATTAAAATTCCCAAAAAATTTAAGGGATTAAAAGTTCAGAAAACATCCTTTCATAATTCCAAACATCAATAAACAAACAAACTCACCACCACTCAAGGAATCCTTGCGCCACTGAAATGCAATAATGAATGGAACAGTTTTCGCTAATGTAGCATTCACGTACTGGGGTACAACTAAAATAAAAATACACAACAATTAATTTGCATAGAATCAAATCAATAAAGAAACAAACAGCATTGGTAATAATAGCTATGGTTACATTGAAGCAAACAACAAGTGTTACTATGGTGATTAATCAATGTTTAAAAAGATTTTACAGAAAATTACATTTGAATAAGGGTGGAATTCAATCGAGCAAAGTTATGGTTTTCAAGGGTTTATTAAGGAAACAGTGAAATTCCAAGAAACGTGGTCAACAAAAACCTTGATACGTGGTCATGAAAAATTGAAACTAACCCTTGAAAGTGAATGCACTTACATAAACGACTTGTTAATGCCAAAGTAAATTTCTGACACAATTCACGACCCGGTTCATCAAAACCAGCAGCCAACAGGAAATGATGTTACTTTTGAAAAATGTTTCACCAAAATTTTGACATAAAGATATTTTTTTTTTTTAGTTAAAGCGCGGTGGTTGACATTTGTATTGATAAACATTGATTTTCCCATAATGGGTATGAGCTTTAAACTGGGCTCAACTTGCACTGAATACTGCCAGTGACTCCTTTGAGTCCAATCACCTAAAAAATACTTAATTAAAGCTTGGTAACCTTTCACTTTGTACTCGTTAATCTGCGCAACAGTCAAAGTCGCCATCTTTGTTTATATGAGACCCATATATCCCACGTATCGATACTGCCCTTTAAATATGTTTGATGCCGGTGATCAATGTGCAGTACATTATGAGTTGAAAAATTGAATTTTGTATATAATGTATATGTCACTAACATAACATGGTATGACGATCACTGCCCTACAAAGTGTTATCCACATATGTAAATTATATTGGAATGTGGTTCATATAGTCTAAAAGCAAACATGGTTACCATGTAACCTCAGGACTGCACCTACCTTCCGGAACCTCTTTTATATCAAGCAGTCCATAACTGACCGCTGCACCAAACTCTGTGAATGTCTGAGAAGTTCTCTCAAATACCCTGAGATACTCAGCAACATCTTTTCCCCATGATGCGTAGAAACAGACAAGACTTAGTGACGTATGCCCGGGATATTTCATTATTGTTGACTGTAAGCTACTCTGAAAAAGTGATAATAATGTGGGTAAAATGCGATTTTAACAGATAACGTAGAACAAATATTTAAATGAGTACTCAACGTTGGTGCTACCGACTAGAAAATAACGAATACACCAAAACAGTATCGGTTTCCATGGTAACAATTATTTGTGATTTTCACATACATGTACCATTGCCCAAGATGTCATTAAGATTGCTACTGACTTAACTCTGATATATATGCCCAACATCCCATAATATTAATATTATAATATTATTATCTGAGTAACGAGCTGAATAACTCACCATTGACAACCGCTCCATGGGTAGGCTCAAGGCAGTCAAATAAAGTTCAACGATCTCTCTCCTAACCTCTAGGGATTCAACTCTTTTGGTTACTTTCACGGATCCTTTCAACCAATCTATCAGAACATACCATTATGCAAATAGGGTGGGACAGCAATACAAGGGATGTGTTACAAAATATTACTTAACATATGTTGCCAGTTAAAAAATGAAAAAAAAAAAATATTTAACTTGCGCAGATGATCATGAACTGAAAGGCTGGTACAGTACCTTTTCTGTTTATTATTAACATTGTTGGGTATTTATTTACTCCAAATCTTGCTGCCAATTTCTCTTCATGTGCGGACTGTGGTTGAACTAGAAGGATCTGGGTTTCATAAACTGCTTTGATCTGAGAACAAACAATGCAAAGTGAGTAAATTATGCTGAGCAAGTAATTCTCCCTGACGAGAACTTATCATAATGTAATATCTGCTGTTCCACATTTTTTAAAAATCAATATACAATTTAATAATCAAAATCTGATAAATTAATAACCTGTTCATACCGTATTTGCTTTATTAGTAGTGCATGTATTCAAGTAAATGACAGAGATGTGTCTGTGGTCAAAATAAGTAGTATTTAAAGCGGGGGAGTCATCACCTGTGCATGCGTCAAATGGCCATAGCGTGTCATTGTTTACAAACAAGCGTCTACCCATGAGCCTTTGCGTTTTTAACGCGTGTTGTTATCGTCGCTTGGGACTGAATTCTCGTGTGTGCGCAGGTGGCGGCCCTCCCCCTTAAAGTCAAAGATCCAGTATATACCGGTAATACGGTAAACATAACTGTTGGTTGACAAGCACTTCTATTGGAGAGGAAGCAAATAATACTAGAAGTGTATTTCTAATACAGAAATGTGCATAAAAAAAAAATGCAATTACACAGTATACGTATACGTATACGTATACGACCATAAATACATAAAACTCTAATCATGACAGTTTAAGCATCTTACAATGCAGATAATAAGATTATTTCGAAAATACCTCAAAGTATTCAAGACAGTACAGCGGGAGTATCGACCGATGGCATACTGTCTGAATGCATACTTTGAGGTATCTTCGTAATAACCTTATTATTATAAAAGGATACATCATGGGAATAAAGAAATCCAAAAAGTTTAGAACAGATTCAGCGAAGTTCTTCGTATGGAGTTCGGTCAACCGGTCAAACCCTGGCAGCAGCCATGTTTGTTTCTATTATTAGAGAATGCTTACGCGCATAAGCAGTCCATAATTACGGTAGAATTTGAATTTCCTTATATGGTTTGATGAAAATACCCCGTAAAATACCGCAAAATTACGGCACGCTGTAACTTATGGTGTTACGATGACAAATGTTTAATAATAGAGGGAATGTAGACCAGCAATATTAATCTTAATCTTAGACAAAAAATAAATTAATATATTAAATTGAACAATGTTATGTATTGGACACTACACAGCACTTACCGCTAACAGCATGCTTTCAATATACTGAAACTTATCTTTACCAGGAAACGCTATCAGCGTGGTTGGTGATTTCATAATATTATCATCAATATTACTATCACACGCTTCCATAATCATGTTATTCCGTTCTAGCATCTGCAAATGATTTTAAGTTGATATCATAATTTTTCAGGTCAATCAGTTAAATTACTATCAAAGTTTTTATGATATTTGTAGATTAGAATTTATTAGAACACATTGTTCTATTATACTTGAAAACTTAAGTAACTATATATGCTTGATTGTACATGTATTTTGGTGTAGCAACTCAAGAATGGAGATGCCATAATTATGATCAATCAATTCATGTCGTTTCTTATTACCAAGAAATAAAAAAGATGCATCTCTGTGATTTATTTCCGTGAAATAACCTTCAATGATGTCTACTGTTCCATTGATGCATGTAACTACAATATTTATGATTACTACTACCGAAAGTACAACTGTTGTTCATCTCACAAAATATTACATAGTTTATGTACCATATTTGCTTTATTAGAGGCACAATTGTAAACTGAATTATTAGAATATTACTTATTTCAATACTTCCGTCATTTACTAATATTGTATACATAAGAATGTTGTCTTCATCTTTAGGACTCTTAATAGTAAAATTATCAATGCTATAATATTCACGATTCATGTACATTTTTCCCTCACAAAATTAAAGTGGTTTACGGTAAAATTTCTCAACACCATAACAGGAGCCTATCACATACAGTTACTCACTGTTTTACTGAACCATGCTTTTATTTGTTCCAATTCAACCTCTCCATCATATTCAAAGAATGATGATGTTGTTGTTGTTGTTGCTAGGTAACATCTCAGGGATGGTATTACTTTTGGTATCTCTATACCTCTTACCTTCTGTAAACGAAAGGAACATGGCTCATTGTATAAGTAGATAATAAGTAAACGCTGCATATGGTACACTACAACAATGTAACTATTTACGCAAAATGCAAACACAAGACAATAAACAAATGAATAAACGATTAAAACTTGATTGTCGTATTCTGGAACAGAACTCCATCAACACTAAGTGTCTGTCCTGTATATCATATTTGCTTTAATTTAAAGTAAATTTCCAACAGGAGGGCACATAAAAACAAAATTGCATTTATCGTACACTAGATCAAAAAAAATATGACTTATTAAAACCATAGACACACCACAGTATAAGGTATTGGTAAGGTGTTACTTTGTTACCTTGGTGATAGGATACGATCCTATTCTGACTTCAATACCATCCTTTGTTTTGACTCCATCAGATGACAAAATAGAGATCAAAATATTTTGTAGCACTGAAGCATCTAAAGAGAGAGAGAAAGTATGATAGATTTTAATGATTCAGAAAATAACATGAATATTAATAATAAAGTGTGTCACTCAATGCTTTTTTTTTTTACTGTAAACGCATTAATTATTGGTTGGTTTTTAATTTCACTATGTTTGTTGATTTGCTAAATTTGCTAAATTAAATTCATATGAACTTGTAGAATAACAATAGAACCTGTCAAGTTCATTAAGGCAGAGATGCAGTTTACCTGACAGGTATTTTAATTAGTTAATTAGGAAACCAAGATTACCTCCCTTGTCCACAAAACTATATATTTTCGGAAAGCTTATTGTATGAATTTTAAAATTTTGTTAGTATTTTTTTGTTATGGTCACTGTAGTTTGAAATATGCACAAAAATGTCCTTTTTTGGTCAAAAGTGATTTAAAAAATATTAGCTCCTAAACCATGCTTCTGTTTCCTGTCAAAATTGGTTTATGGGGACATCTGTTTACTATGAAGAAAGTGCTGTGGATTGTCATCACGGAGCATTAATAGCAATCAGTGACTCGGATTGCACATTTGTATCATTGATTCAGAGAGCATGCACATTCTCACCAAAAAAATCCAGCAAGGCACTCAACAAAGTTATGACATCAACACTGACCTTGGTCATAAAACAATACACACACTGGTATCTGTGATGCGTGTCTTAAATAATATTCCAATTCAATCTGTTGATATGCAGGAAGGGTAACATTTCTTATCACAGTTGCCTCAGTCTTTCCTCTGTCGCTATTAGCAAGCGATGATGGCAACACTTCTACATGCAGCGATCTTGAGCTTTCTATGGTTTGTGTGTCTTCACTTTCAGTTCCTGGAAAAGAGCAATAATTAATATTTATTGAAATATAGAAACAGAAATTCCATCATTCAGTTTAAATTATTTTAAAAAGGGCGTAAGGGCATACTTATAAGCTGTGACCACACATCATATGATTGAGCAATATATGCCACTTTTCACCCACATAACCAAGGTTATAGCTATATATAGAAAATAGGAAGTGCCTGTCTAAAAACGTTATCGAAATGAAAGATAGCAGTATACCGAATCTGTACCCCAGACTTACAATCGATTTTTGATTGATTACTTTGTAATTTACTGGCAATTTTCAACCAAAATTGAACAGGTTTGTAGAAATTTTACCTGTCAAATGACATTTTGTGCCTGGCTAAAATGAGAGGTAAACAGGTGGCTGTTTATAAGTCATTTGACATTTGACATGTCGATCAGGGGTTTTTGGATGCGTCTTCTTATCACAGTAACAACAAATGATACCATCGCACATTTTTTTTTAGTACTGTATATCAAACCACAAGCGCTTGTAACGTTTCTTAAGCAGT